GTGTGTGTGTGTGCGTGCGTCTGCCCGGGTTTCCCTGCTCCTGCTGTAAAGCTGCCAGAAAGCCAGACTCGCCTGGTGATCCCAGCTGTAAACATCCTGGGGGGAAACAGCAGACTGCTGCTTTCAACGCACTCACCAGAAACACGTCTGCTATATGCTGTGTGTGTGTGTGTGGGGTGGTGTGTTTGTGTGTGTGTGTGCTCATGTGCACACTCCTGGGGCTGCGACATGGTGGCAGGGCTCTAAATGGAAACAGGTTGGTTTGCGGTTTTCATTCCTGCAGACGATGCTCTGTGATGGGACACCGTGTGAATGTTTCTGCCCTCTACTTTGCTTTTGTGTACTTGAGAAGGAGAGGGAGTTCAAATGGCACGCTGTGGCTTCACTTTATCAAAGACAGGCGGGCTGGAAGACAAACTGCGGCCCTGGTGAAGGTAGAAAAGAAAACATAATGGAAAACAAGGCAGGGGGTCTAGCTAAACTTATAACGTTTCACATGACGTCACCTACAAACACTAAAGCCACAAGCAATTTTCTGTCTTTTTTTGGGAGAGCTATACAAAGACTCGTAAAATTGCGAATAGACAATGACAGAGTGGCTGCTCTTTCAACATTTTTGTATGGTGGCTTCCTGCCTCTCTGCACATTACATGGTCATTTGAGGTAAAGCAGCCACAAGTTGATGCAGGGAAGGCAGAGTAATTGTACACTTTGGTCAAGAGTGCAGTGCGATGCTGGGGGTTTACTGTGTGTTTTACTTATCTTTTTGGGTAAGTGTTCATTTTTTTCTGTGCGGTTGAACTTTTTCTGGCTTCAGATCTCAGTTAGCTCTTTCGGTTTGTTAGAATAAACAAACAACATGTTGAGAACGTCATGCAACCATCACTTATATTTATATGTGTGCGATTCTGTCGGTCAACATGGGATTTCCCATTTTGTGGATTTGTTTAATCTCTGTGTAACTTGCTTGAGAAAAGAGAAAAAAAACAGAAACAATGTCAAATAGATATCCAAGCGTCTTTATTTCAGCTATTTCAACTATTCTTTACAGTTTTATCTTCATCAGATTAAAATCTTGGTTCAGTGACAAAACAACAAACAAACAACTAAATACAGCAAAACATTTTTTGGGGAAAAAATTGGGAGTTATGTATCCGTCACTCATAAATCCAGGATAGGCTAGGGCAAGGCCTCTGTGGTGGAGCCTTTGGGTGCTTTATTTAGGCTTGTGCCTGGGCTTGTCCAGATGGACGAGGGGTGGTGCTGTGTGTTCCCACAGCCTGATGTGTTTGTGCCTGCTGGATGCCCCTCTGGAGCGCTCCCACTCTCTTTTCGGACACTGCGAGTCGTCCCGTGCTTCCCCGGCCAGCCTAACCAATGTGCAGACTACTGTACAACCACTACTTCCTGAACAGGTAGTCTGAACACTGGGCAGGCGGGCTGGGCGGCTGAAGGATGCTGTGGAGAAGTTTTTTTACTGATGCCACCACAGACGAGCGCAGTATGAGTCACTCACACATACACTCTTTAAGCGATACTCACTGTTATTCCAGTGTCTGCCTCTTCTGCGTCTGCTCTCGTAGCCTGACTGCTACAAAGTGCTGATCAGGCTGATTGTGTGTGTGGAAACAGTGTGTGAGGGATGGATGAAGGGGCCGGCAGGGAGGTGAAGGAGGAGGAGGGGGAGGAGGAGGAGAGGTTAGACAGATGTGATAGCCACTGATTGGCACATTCAACAGCATTCCCTCCTGTTTCCCGCTGTGATAAGCAGCATTACAGACTGAGCTCAGGAGAAGAAACACCATACGCATAAATGCATTTTTAATATTTCGAAAACAACCAAAAAGATGTTGAAGAGTAATAAAATCCATTAAATAAATCTCATGATTTAATCAGTAAAACTTGGCTATTGTTTGGGCTATCATTGGTCAAATTTTGAATGATTCACAAATTTTTCTTTTTACAAACTCAAAAACTAAAGTGCCGTTTTTTTGGCAAAGCCTGTTTGCTGAAAAATGGATGGCAGACAAAGACTCAAATGTAAAAGAACACACACCCGCATGGTGCAAATTAGTACAATCTAAACTTGGTTTGCCCCCGCTGACCCCCAGGCCAAGAATAAATAAATAAAAACCAGGA